ATAGTCCTAGCCTTCACAATCTCCTCAGCACGGAGTTCCACAGATTGGCTATGTGCTGTGTGAAGAAGAACTGCCTTTTATTTATTTTAAACCTGCTGCCCATTAGTTTCATTTGGGGCCCCTAGTTCTTATATTATGGGAACAAGTAAGTAACTTTTCCTTATTCACTTTCTCCACACCACTCATGATTTTATATACTGCTAAGAGATGTGTCTGTCCGATCCACATGCTCCTCTGCACCAATCGGCTTTCCCCCATCTCTTAGTTTAAAAACTGCTCTGCGACCTTTTTAATGTTAAGTGCCAGCAGTCTGGATCCACTTTGGTTTAGGTGGAACCCATTCTTCCTCTATAGGCTCCCCCTATCCCAAAAGTTTCCCTAGTTCCTTATAAAGCTTAAATCCCTCCTCCCTGCACCTTCGTCTCATCTACACATTGAGACTCTGAAGCTCTGCCTGCCTACCTGACCATGCGCGTGGAACTGGAAGCATTTCTGAGAATGTCACCATAGAGGTCCTGGATTTCAGTCTCTTTTTCCTAGCAGCCTAAATTTGGCCTCCAGGATGTCTCTGCTACCCTTCCCTATGTCATTGGTACCTACATGTACCATGACCACCAGCTCCTCCCCAGCACTACACATAAGTTGATCTAGATGGCTCGAGAGATCCGCAACCTTCACACCAGGCAGGCAAGTCACCATACGATTCTCCCGGTCATTGCAAACCAGCTATCTACATTTCTAATGATCAAATCTCCTATTACTAACAACTGCCTTTTCTTACTTACTGGAATTCCCTCCCCAGAGAGGTAACCTCAGTGCTAGAGGATACCCCAACATCTGGAAGGAGGGTCCCAACTATGGGAAGATTTCCCTCTGTTCCCATTGACTGCTCTCCTTCCCTGAGCCTTTCATCCTCCTTAACAGCACAGAGGCTGTCTGACAGGAGGTGAGACAATTCTACAGTGTCCCAGAAAGCCTCATCTACGCACCTCTCTGCCTCTCTCAGCTCCTCCAGTTCAGCCGCCCTAGCCTCCAAAGCCCATACGTGGTCTCTGAGGGCCAGGAGCTCCTTGCATCGAATGCACACATACGTCATCCACCCATAGGGCAGGTAATCATACATGCTACACTGAGTGCAATAAACAGGATAGCCCCTACTGTGCTGCTGGGCTTCTTCCTGCCTTCTCTCCTACAGCTACCTAGGTTATTGATAGAGGTTTTAGTTAAATCAGGAAGTTTTGATTAAAACCTTTAAACTAAACTATAAAGAATGGCAAGTGTATCTTGGCCCCTTACCACTCCCCTTTCACACTCACTGTTTTATTAAGCCCTAGCATTCCTGATAGCCCTGCCCCCTGACTAAAGCTCAGCCAATTAACAGAGGCTTCTAAATTTCAAACCTTTAGAAGCTCAAAGCTTCAAACTGTAGGCCAAAGCACACGCTCCTTCAAACAAACAAAACAAACAGAAAACACAAACTCAGCACACAGCAAGTAACCCCCAAACACACAAACTCACACTACAGACAGACACTTACCTCAAGGGTCCCGTATTTGCTCCTCCTTTACCTGGATAACTCCCTCTCAAAATTCCCTGTTTGCTGCTCCAGCTCACAAAGCTCCCTGGTCGCTGAAGTGTTTGTTTGAAAAACACTGTGCAAAACAAAATGTTATCAGAAAGTTTCAAGAAGGTCTAAAATTAAATGGCATGGACCTACATTTCTTCCTGAGCAAACCAGTATTATAGTCACATTCTATCTTTAGTCTCTGAGACTTATTTTACGCTGTTGTTTACTCACTTGGCAATCTGTTTTGATTTGTTTGCTTTCTCCCTTATAATCACTTAATTAACTACAAAAGATAGATTTTAACTTGTTTTTGGTTCATCTGAATCAGTGAATTTGGAATGAAGTCTCTGAAAATGTTAGGGGAAAGGCTGTTGCATATTCCTGTCTGCAATGGGGAACGAAGACTTTGTGATAGGGATGTTAAGTCATATGTAATTGAATAGTCATTAAACCACATCAAATTTTAGCATTTACATGACCATTCTATAGTCCCCAAGGGCAGGGGAGGCAGACAGCTCCAGCCCCACTCACAAGGAGTCCCCCACCATCCAGCACTGCTGCCTCTGTATTATTCGAACTACCTACTCCGTGCCGCTTGTAGCCAGGGGCACAGAGTCCGAACTACTGGGGATTTAAAAATGGCGGCGCCCGGCAAGATGCAAATGAAGCCCAGGATATTTAAATCCCGGGCTTCATTTGCAACTTCGAATGACTACATTAACCACCCTAGTTCGAACTAGGATGGTAGTGTAGACATACCCATAGATAGTAGCATGGGGTGGCAGGTGGGAGTCAGTCTGTGAAGAGAGCTGGTTTAAAAATTGGCTCCCTGCACAGACCAGCTCCCACCTGCTGCCTTGCACTGCTGCCTCTAATACAGAGGCAGCAGCGCAGGGCGGCAGCAGCCCTTTTGGGAGGCAGCAAGGAGAAGGCAGGCAGCTCCCCACATGTATCAGTTCTCGCCTGTCCTTTCCCTCCCCTTCGTTTCTGCCTCTCACAGAAAGGCAGCAGCACGGACAGGAGGCAGGTAGCTCCACAGGAGCCAATAAATGTGCAGAGTCAGCTTCCCATGTGTACTGGTTCTCTTAGTATTCTGTGTCTTCTCTAGCAAACATTTGAGTGCTCTGGAGTATTCCTTTGGCCATCTGATCAGAAAGAAATGTCTTACTCTGTCCAGCTTTATTTTTTGTCTATTCATTTGATATAGTTTCTGTTTTATTTGCAATACATTTCCTGCTGGTGGTTCATATTTAGTACATTCTTTACAAACAGTATCAGACAGTCTGTACTTAAAGATCAGCATGACCTCCACACATATGTAGTCTCATAGTTTACAAACCCAAGATGATATTGAGCTTTATTAGGTCAGTAATTGCTTGTGTAGTTGATCCATTGGAGTTGCAAGGAGGATGGAGGAAAAAGGTCAGCATGTGTCTAATGACTTTTCATCTTACTGTGTTTTTATGAGGCATCAATTCTGTTTCCTATCTGTTTTCAGCAATATGTTAAATGCCCTGTTGCTTTTTTCATCTTTCCATTGAGGCTTTAATGCATTTTCTGAATTACCATTTTTATAGGCAAAGTATTAAGGGTCCCCAGGTTAATAGTAAGCTTTTTGCTTACTGTAGGAGGTCCACTTGGCTTATACTTTGTTCCAAATTGTTTAACTTCACATTCTAATTGTGTTCTAGTATAGGCTCCCCATTCTAAGGAAGGGCGAAAAGAACTTAGGAGAAAGCCACTACATGAAGATGACCCAATGGATGGGTCCATTTATTCCCACAAATTCTTGGGCTCTTTGTATTTGGCAGGTCACACTCCCTGGCCCATCTGTATTGCCATCAGTCCTGTGCATAAAAGGGAAGAAGGTGGATTGATTAGCATGCAGTGTTTATCATGTAGTTTTACTCCTTCTAGGGGTGGGCTGGTTGGTTGGTTGGTTTGTTTTGAAAAAAAAAAAAGATGATGTAGAGCATTCCTGGTGAGGGTCACAGCTTAGAATGCCACTTTCAGGACAGATTGATTAAAAAATAAGGCAGACGACTCACCCCAAAACTGGTGGTTATTCCAACATCAGAGTTCACCAAGCCTATGTGAGTTCCTGTATTACCATGCTGGGTAAGAAGAAGCCATAATACAGGTTCCCTTAACAGACCCTATCACAACCCAGACTTCTGATCTTTATGCTTATAGGTTACTGAAAACCAGATTAATCAAATATAAGGTTCTTCTAATCCCAAGAATCAGCCACTCTTACTCCCGAGGTCATATACTTAGATCTTTCCAGATTTCCACTCTTGTAGCCAGCCCTTTAGTGACTAAAAATTAAAGGTTTATAATTACAAGAAGAAAAGAACAAAGTTATTATTTGTTTAAAGGAAACATATTTTAATTGTTTCAGAGTTTGCAGGTCAGGATAATAGCAGTGATGTTAATTCTGCTAGTTTATAGTAAGTCTCTCTGGTTCACCCAAATAGATTGGGGATCATCAGTCCATTGTCCAAAGCTTCCTTCTGTTAGAAATTATGTCCAGAGATACGGGGCAAGACAAAGATGTCATGTCACAGTCTCTTTTTATACTTTCAGCCAAAGCGTATGGAAAGTTATTGACAAAAGATGGAGACTTAGATCACATGTCCTTACATACCTTGCTGAATCATGGGGTGGCCATTGCCTCAGTGCTTTCTGAAACTTCTTCAAAAGGGGCTGACTGAGCGAGCTGATTGTCCTCAAGCAGGCTGGTTAGTCTAGACCACTGTTTCTCAAATTGGCTGCAGAGCCAGTAAGTAAACAAACCAGAGTGGCCAGGTAGCAGCTTTCTCAGAGTGGGTCCATGGACCACTTTGAGAAACATTGGTCTTGATGCATACCAAAAACAACATGTTTGTGATGCAAACCCATAGCCAACTTCATATACAAAGATGATATGTGGATTTAAACAAGATGATAATGCTTAACAATCTATATGTTTTCCATTGATACCTTGTTTACATGGTGACATACTTAGTACAAGATTTATTGCAATTTTGTAACGGTGGCTGTGTGAGTGTAGGTGTAGTTATCTTTTTAAACAGCATCACAGATATATCTTGAACTATTTCCGAGTCACTGAAATCTGAATGAGTTTTTCCATTATCTTTGAGATGAGGATTTCATTCATAGCAGAGAGACAACGTTCTTAAAACAAGCTAATGTTTCAGGCAAGATGAATAGTACATCAGGTATTAAAAAGTCTTCTTAAATTAGACAAGATGAACACCTTTTACTTGTATCATTTAGAAACAAACTGTATTTCCTATGCAAGGAGAAACGTGTATACATAGGCTTCCCTCACAGAAATACAGACCAGAGAATCTTGCTAATTTGAGTCCTTTATTTTTTTTCTCTCCATACTAAGGCTAACCATTTTGTTTTGCTTTTTTCTCTTTTCTAGGTTGCCTTTTTGAAGATGTAAAGAACCCACATCCATTATTTGAAGATTACCTTGAGAGGAGTTTTCACTTAACATACAGAAATGTAAGGATCACTTCTATTGGGATGACTTTCCAGAAAAAACCACACAGGGTGCAAAACCTCAAAATATTTTAGCTTTAATATTTGTTGGATTTTTTGTTTTGAAAGAGCAAAGCCAATGACAGAGAAATTCATTCAGATTAGGGAGGTTAAAAAATGGGTAATTGAGTAACCTTGTAACTGCTGAAAATGTCAGTGGTTACACAGTTACACATACGAGGTGACAGCCAGCTGCCTTAGTTCAGACAGGCACACATTATAAGACTGGAGTTCTGAGAGTGACTTATGTCTGAAGGCGGGCGTGACCATAATCATGATGTCTTCATCACCAAGGGAGAAGGAGTCAATAATCTTGATGGAGCAGTGGTTGATAGTAAATTGTGTATTTTATGTAGAAAATGGAAGAACTTGTAGCTAGGAGAGGATATAAAATATTTATTGTAGTGAATCCTAACTAAGAAACATATGCAACTTTTATTACACTAGTCATTGTTTTGAATTGGCAGAGGTTATCAGGTGACTGGAACTGTAAAATGTAAGCTGTTGTTTTCCACCAACCTTATGTATGTAGCATATACATTTTTCCCATCTGATATCCGACTCGGTAATCAAGAGAGAAGGTACTATTTGCATATCTGTATCCTATGTAAAACTGAATGAAATTGATAATGCATTGGCTAAAGTTAACAACAAAAAGTTTTTGTGATTGTTTAAAATAAATGATCTTGCAGCTATAAAAACGGTGCTTGTGTCTACAGGGTTTATGGAAGTTTCTGGATTGGCAGCCCTGGAGGCAGAAATCCTCTGTTTGCAAAGCTAATCCATCTTAGGTTGTGACTGCATAAACTTCCCCACTGCATAAACTTCCCTTCCTCTATCTTCTTAAGTGCCTCAATTCTGACTTGGCGGGACCATATCTAGAAATAGTTCAGTCCTTGTGGCCCATTCAGTGCTTTCTCTTACGAGACTGTCAACAAGAGTTGACAGGTGAGTTAGTGCTGAGTGGAGTTGGTGGCAGCTTCTGTGTTTTAGACACTTATCTACTTGTAATTGGACTGATAACTACCAAATGCATTCTGCGTGGAACAAATAACCTTGCACGGTTTCCAATTTTGGAGTGGACCTCTCATTCTTCAGTTGTCAGTAATCATTTTGGTCTCTGTTGCGCAGAAAGAGTATCAGAGAGAACTTGTATACAGTATATGTGTGGGCAGTAGAGAGAAAGATGAGCTGTTTTTCTCTGCATAAGCACTAGTGCTGCCATAGTTCAGCAGCAACCCTGTTGTCTGCCCAAGTTAAAGATATAGCTGAGAATATTCATATTGCTGAGCCCTTTTTTACTATATGTCTGAGCCCTCTATTAACATACATTCGGAACCCCGCCCATTTTGTAACCTTAATGTAATCTGTTTTCTTAGATGGCCTCAAGTTTGCCACAGAGTACCCTAGGGTCAAAAACTGAGCATGATTCAAAAAGGGAGTCACATGTTTTTAAGGATAACCACACAGTTCAGAGTTATAGAAGCTTATGCTATCATACATATTGGTTTGAGTAATTAAACCCGATGATTTAGATGATAAACTAATATGGATTAGGAGGAGACCAAATGTTAGCACATGTTTCTCTAATTTGTTTGTGTCTTCCTCTGAAGTATCTGGTCCACACCACTTTTCAAGACAGAACACTGGACTACCTGGACCATGGGTCTAATCCAGCCTGACAGTTTGTACATCCCAAAGCTGCTTGGGAGAAGCATTTCTACTTAAAATAGTAGAAGAAATTCTGTTTATATAGGCTGACTTTTTTCAATAATTCACTTTAAGTAATTAAAAAGAGAGACAAGGTAAGTGTGGTAATATCTTTTTTTGGCCCAACTTCTGTTGGTGCATGAGAAGAGCTTTTGAGCTTAACCTACCCCCTTGTCTTTCTTTAATATCCTGGGACCAACACAGCAGCAGCTACACTGCAAACAATTAAGAAATAAGAAAGCTGTGAGCTTGTCAAAGGACAACTCTCTAAGACTACATCTACACAGTGGAGCTATTTCACGATACCTGTGATATCCCGAAGTAGCTATTCCGTGTCTTAAGAGCAAGCCTGTTATATCGAAATACAGGCAGTCCCCGGGTTACGTACAAGATAGGGACTGTAGGCTTGTTCTTAAGTTGAATCTGTATGTAAGTCAGAACTGGCGTCCAGATTCAGCTGCTGTTAAAACTGATCAGTTTCAGCAGCGGCTGAATCTGGACGCCAGTTCCGACTTACATACAGATTCAACTTAAGAACCCCAGGCATCCCCAAGTCAGCTGCTGCTGAAACTGATCAGCGGCTGATTCCAGGAAGCCCGGGGAAGGGGCTTCCTGTAGTCAGCCACTGGTCATTTTCAGCAGCTGCTGACTTGGGGGCACCTGGGGCAGAGGCGGCTGGGG